GATCTCTTTCCAATTCCCTCAACTTACCAAAGAAAACTATGGTAAGTGGTCCATTCGAATCAAGGCGCTCTCATGAGATTTGGGAGATTGTTGAGAAAGATTATGAGAAACCTCTTGATGAGGCTTCTTTGACTCCTGGCCAAAAGCAGGAACTCCACAAAGTAAGGAGGAAGGATCAACAAGCTCTTTTACTTATCCATCAATGTCTAGATGATTCTATGGTCGAGAAGGTGGCAAATGCTTCTACTTCAAAGGAGGCTTGGGACATTCTAGAGAATACTAATAGAGGCATTGAGAAGGTAAAAAAGGTACGTCTTCAAACTCTTCGAGAAGAATTTGAAGCACTGCAAATGGAGGAGTCCGAATTCATTTCAAATTATTGTTCTCGTGTCTTGAAACTTTCTAATGAGATGAAGAGGAATGGAAAAAGCGTGAGTGAGACAAGAGTGATAGAAAAAATTATCCACTCTTTGACACCAAGCTTTGATTATATTTTGGTGGACATAGAGGAGTCAAACGATCTTGACTTCATGACCATTGATCAACTCATGGGCAGTTTGGTAGCCCATGAAGAGAAGATAAAGAAGAGGAGGCCCAAAGAAACTTTGGAGCAAACTCTTTACTCAAAACTCTTTCAAAGAAAGAGAAGGAGGTTGCGGACATGGCAGAGGCCAAGGCCAGGCACTGGTGGATTTCAAGGAAGAGATCAAGGAAGAGCTCGTGGAGGCACTGCACAAGCCATGAATGGGAAAAACTATCAAGGTTCTCAAAGAGGCCATGGTAGAGGAATGAAATTCCAAAGAAGAGATAAATCTCAAATCCAGTACTTTAATTGCCAAAAATATGGTCACTATGTAAGTGAGTGTAAGAGGGGTAGTGAAGTAAAAGAGAAAGCAAATCTTATGGATTTTCAAGATGAAGTATAACTCACTCTCTTAATGGCGAGACAGAGGACAAAGAAGAGAAGAACATGTGGTATCTTGACTCCGTTGTGACATGACTGGAGAAAAAAAGTTGTTCGTAGACATGGAACCAACCAAAGGCTACGTGATGTTTGGAGATGATTCTAGAGTAAGGGTTGAAGGCAAAGGCAGAAAGTAATCCTTGCTAAAAATGGAAGTCGCCAATATATCTAAAAAATTTACTATGTTCCAAGTCTCAAGAGTAATATCTTGAGTTTGGTACAACTTCTAGAGAAAAACTACAATATTCATTTGAAAGATCATAGTGCGTTAAGGATCCAGAAGGAAAATTGATTACCATTGTGCTAATGACAATCAATATAATGTTCTTGTTGAACATTCAAAGTGAGAATTGCATGAAATCTTCCTTCAAGGATGATTCATGGATCTGGCAAATGAGGTATGGTCATTTAAATTTTGGTGGCTTGAAATTATTGTCTGCAAAATGCATGGTGAAAGGATTGCAACCTATCAATCAGCCGAATCAAGAATGTGAAGGATGCTTATTTGGGAACCATTCAAGGAGTGCTTTCCCAAAAGAAGTAACATCAAGAGCTAAGGAGCCTTTGGAACTCATCCATACAGATTTGTGTAGCCCCATTTCTCCGCCATCCCATGGTAAAAACAATTACCTCAGCCTATTTATTGATGATTTCTCTCGAAAGGCTTGGGTATATTTCATGAAGGAGAAATCACAAGCCTTTGATACCTTTAAGACATTCAAGGCTATCACGGAGAAAGAGAAAAGCTTAAAAATCAAAGCCTTAAGGTCTGATAGAGGAGGAGAATTCACAAAATTTTGTAGGCGATTCCTTACCGCTTCTTACTCTCCGCAACAAAACGGAGTTGCGGAAAGAAAGAATAGAACCATTCTTAATATGGTTCATAGCATGCTAAAGAGCAAGAAGATGCGAAAGGAATTCTGGGCTGAAGCAGTTGATTGTCTACTGTACCTACTAAATTGATGTCCCACGAAGAGTCTAGATGACAAAACTCCACAAGAAGCATGGACTGGGGCAAGGCCCACAGTGAATCACTTACGAGTGTTTAGGAGCATAGCATATGTCCACGTTCCAAGTCAAAAGCGTTCCAAATTCAATGATCGAAGTGAGAAACACTTGTTTGTTGGATATGATAAGCAATTAAAAGCCTACAAGCTCTAAAATCCTATCATGAAGAAGGTGGTCATAAGCATAGATGTGGAGTTCGATGAAGAAAGGACGTGAGATTCGAATATTGAAAGCAATGAGAATTATAAATTTCTACCGGGTATCCCTAACTATGAAGATGAGGTTAACGAGGCGGATGTAACAATTCAGCAACCTCAAAGTCCATTTTTACCCATTGCAAATGAAGGCACACAAAGAATACGAAGTCTACAAGAGATATCTGAAGAAACAGAGGAAATGAAAGTATTAGCACTTTACTGTCTCTATGCTAAATGTAAACCTCTAGACTTTAAAGAAGTTGTACAAAAGAAGAAGTGGAGGCCAACAAGTACCTCACTAGACATGGAGCAAAGCTCTCGAAGGAGGATGAAGAAGAAGACTACGCATGATCAAGGATGATGCAAGTAGTCACCAATCAAGTTTAAAGGTGGTGTTAGTAAATAAATTGTATTGGTCTAAGTAATATTGGGCTACCCAAGGATACCAAGTTGGACCATTAAGATTTATGTTTAGTTAACTCCAAATCCATTAAAAGAATTGTCTAGAAATATGAAGAAAAAGAAAGTAGAAAAGTCAAAGGAAATTTCTACATTAGGTAGAAGCATCTAAGAGAAATATCTAGATAATAGAATTTAAAATATCGAGATATTTAGAAACTAGTAGAATAATCTATGAAATTATCTAGATATTACATAGAATTATCTCCATTTCAAAAAAAACATAGAATTATCTAGATATTTAAAGATGTTAGAAAAATCTTGAAACTTTGTAGAAGGTTCTATGAACCACTATAAATAGGGGTTAGGCTCTTTAATGTAAAGGGTGTAGAGAACTTGTAAGACTTGTAAACCAAAGGTTTTCATAATAGAGAAAGAATTTTATTCACTACAAAGTTGTTGAGCTCTCTTTCTTCCTAAATCATCTTCTCTTCCATTTCCACCTCTTTAACCTAAAAGGTGTATTTCTAAGTACCCAAAGGGTTCTTTTGCTAACAGTAATACCTTGGCAAGACAAATTGTACGAGTGAAAATTTAACCATGACAAGAGTTGTAAGCTTTAAGAATCATTGCTTCACTATGGTATCTCATGCCTTTTTACGAATTCCAGCAAAACGGATTATATCAACAAGAAGCAGAATTTGAAGTAATCACAATAACATTATTACCTGTATCGAATGAGAGTGTATCTATAGACATGGTGGAAGGGAGGAGGGAGGCGAAGCCTATTACAATTCTAATAGGCCAGTGGGAGACGAAATCGGCAATGTCGAAGGATTCCAAATCGACGAAATCTGCGAACTCGAAAGAATTGGCAAAGTCGAAGGGTGTGGAGGAGGCCGACTTTGGGGCAGCAACCTGAATACCTGATAGAGTGGAAGAATTGGCCGGTGTTCTAATTGTTTTCTATTTTTATATGCACAAGACGATGCCGTTTTGGTAGACTAGGGTTTTTTTGAGAAAAGAGAAAGTAGAGGGACCTCTTAAATTGAATTAGGAATGGTTATAGGAATTGCAGAATTGACAAATTTGTCTCCACTAAAATTGATAATGCTATGTTAAAATTGAACCGTCTAATCTAAAGTATCCGACGGACCAGATCCCCAATTGACACTTAATATCTTGGTCCAAGAGACTTATTTATTTTTATTTTTCTGAGAAACAAAGGATTTCTTAAAGATTATTCGAAATGGTCTAGTACCAATTGCAGTACAATGGTTGGAGATTCGCTCCAAATTGTTTCAATTACAGAAGCCGTTATGGCACGTTTTGTGAGAGAATGGGCTATTATATTATCCAATCTATGGTCCAAGAGGCTTATATTTAAGTAAGTACATAGACAATGGGAAAATTTTAATTAAGGGCATTGGAAAGATGGTTGTTATTATAAAGGGCATGTACCTCATTAATTCATTTTTATAAATATTAAAATATTTTTAGTAATTTCACATTCACCAAATGATTGCTTTAACCTTTTTTTTGCAGATGAGTCATGACTCACGAGTGGTGGCTCTACCAAAATTTGATCGGAAAAAGTGTACACGTTGGTGATTTAGATAATCGGATTCACGAGTTTATTAGATGTGATACTCTAATTAAAAACAGAAAACATTCTCTTCTTCTTCCCTTCTCCTTTTGTTTTTCTTTTTCTTTTGTTTTGCCTTCTTTTAATTAATTTCACATAGTTTGACACAATTCCTGAACTGTGAGTACCCAAAGTGATCAAGAAATGATGAAAATTTGGGCGAACCAGCATCACCATGTCGCGTCACTAGCAAACTCGAGGAGTATATCTACTACTTCTTGAAGCCCCAATTCTACACCTCAAAACAATTTCTGATTTTTTAAAATCAAGTTTGCATCTGTTCCAAAATAGTGTTTTACATATAATTATCATCTAGTAATTTCCTTGGCAAAAAAAGAGAAATAGATCAAGATCTAAGGAAAATTCGATTAGATGAAGAGGGGAATAGGCTTCTATGAACTGTTTGAACCGCATAGGAATCCAAGGATTTATGATTGCCGATTTTGGGCATTATTTATAAGATAATGTTCCTGTGATGAGAAACTAATGTTGTTATAGTCTTTTTAGGAGTCAAAAATGCATCGTAAGTTTCTTAATAATATTAGTAAAAATTAAATAAATGTCATGCCCTTTATAAAAATGTATCGATATCAATTAAAACTAATATATAATTTTAGCTAGATAAAGATCGTGGAAGATTGGCATAATCAAACTCATTCATTTCATTATCTAGAAGATTTGATTTCCATAAAATATATGAAAGTTTTGAATAATTAATACTTGACACTAGTACATACCCTACACTGATTTCGCTGTTTTTTCTTTTTTTTGTTAAAGAAAAACAAAAATCATATATTTGTTGGGATCGGAATCAATCAAAAGCTAGGGTTTGAACCATCCTACAAACACAAACGCGCACACACACAGTTACATATAAAGAAAATGGCTTCATCATCATCAGTAAATTCAAAAGTAGTACGTTTGAAATAATTCATAGACTTGAAAGAGAAGAAGATTTTGTTTGCGGAAGCAGACAACGAAGCTGCTGATTTCCTTTACCATATCATTGCTATGCCAATGGGGGCTTTCATGTTTCTAACCAAAGAACAGACGAGATTTGGTTCCCTCGGAAACCTCTATGATAGCATCGAAACCCTAAACCAATCCTACATTCAGCCAAACCAAACCAAAGTTAGAATCCTTAAACTCATTCCACAAACTTTTGATGAACCCTTTTCATCAAGTCCTCTCTTTTCATCATCATCATCCAGTACTCGGAAAGATGGGAAAGATTTTTACGGATGCAGCCATTGTTATTTATTCCACTGTTTCAGTAATAAATCTGGGACCAAGTGTTCTGATTGCAATAAACCTATGAATTTAAAGATTGAATTTGTTACACCTCCGGGAGTGGAAGGTGGATTTGTGAAGGGAGCAGGCAAGTATATGGTTTTGGATGATCTCACCGTGAAGCCGGAATCGGCCGTCGATTTGCTGAAAGTGTTGAATGGAAGGGACCCAGATACCCTTGAGGAGAAAGTGCTTGATATAAGCATGGATAAGGTACTTCCTAATTATTTTTATCCTTTCTTAAATTGTGTTTTAATGTTTTGATATTGATTGAATGAACATGGTTTGCTTGTGTTCCTGTTCTCCTTGGAACCATTTAGTTTGTTGTAACTTTCAATTAGATGAGCTTTTGAAATATTCGCTCTCATTAACGCATTTACCACAGTAAAGGTTTTGATATAGTCTCCGTTTCTATAGTTGATATCTTTTTTTATACATTTAACGAATAGTCCAATCATTTTTCTTTTGAACTTTACATTTTTCTATACCTCCTTGTATAATGTTGACTTTACATTTGACAGGCGCTGCAATTGGTCAAAACATCTATGAAGTCCACCACTGTTCTTACGGACGTCTTCTTGAGTAATATCATAGGCAAGTTGGAAAAAAATTGTACTAATTGATTCACGAATTTTTATTATGCATGGTAGGAGAGTTCATTCCCTTTTCTTTTAATGAAAAAAATTTATCATTTCAGATCAGAGTAGGATTAGTGATCATTTTCTTTTGATTTCTATGGATGTGATGGGTACACATACAATTGTTAATAATTGAATGTGATTTCTCGATTGCAATTTTTCTTTCTTTTCTTTTTTTTTCATTGGGGTTAAAATTATTAACATGGCATTATGTTTTGATTGTTCTTGATCGTAGGAGGATTGAAGCGGAAAAGAGATGCAAGGACAAAAGTCGAGCCGATTGAATTGAATTAACCGAAGGAGCTACTTTTAGAGAGTAGTAATCAATATGTGTTGATCATTTTATTCAGAAAAACTCCAAATTGGTCCTTCATTTTCCTTTTTATTAAATGAGTTATACATCCTTTCTTGTCTCATTCGAATAGTCATTTGACAAACATAATTACTCCACGATTCAAGCTGATGCTATTGTGACCAAATTTTTTCATATGTTTATGTGTAGAATTAATCTATTGATTGAATGTGAGAACGAATTGCTTGTGGATATATAGTTATATATGCCGGAGAGGCCACCCAACTTGTGGCCACCAAAATGCTAGTCCAGATGCTAACGCTTAGAACTACATACTTTGTTCAAGCGATTTATTGATTTTAATGGATCCGGTCTTCCCGGATCAATTGGGATACCCTTATTTAACTTCTTCTAAAATGGGGAAAAAAAAGGTTTCCAGTATTGCTAAGAATATAGTTAAGAAAGCTTCTTGTTGTATATACCTTTTTTTTTTCTTTTTGGTCGGGGGGGGGGGGGTGTGGTAGTTGACCTCGTACCAATTGTTCTTTCGGCTGGAGCACGGGGAAGCAGATTGTGAGTCATGTTGGTGAACCTGTGCAGCTACAGTTGAATTCTCTTGTGAAAGAAGGTTTTGGACTGAGATGGAGTGTGCTACAATCTCCTGTTCCTCATCCGATTGGTGTAAGTTTGAAGCATTGTGTTGAACTGTGTTAAGGTATGTTAGAATCCTTCCCAGTTTGTCATCACTTTTTGTTACTTTTTGAGTGGAAAATTTTATTTGAGTTCTTCATTAGCTGAGCTTCATGGCAATTTTCAATGACATTCTTACCATCTGAGAAAGGTGTTTCAGTTGACGTCGGCATCGGAGTTTCAGGATTATTGTCCAGGTGATTGGGGTGAGTCATGTAATTCATCCAAGCTCTTTGAATTTTACGTAGCTGATTGATATTCATCTAAAGTAGTGTTATCCAAGCTATTTTGAAAACTATCTGATGATGCTTTGACATTTTGAGAAGTTTGAGCTTTGTATTTTGGCTTCAGAAGTTGACGGATCATCCACCAGCCCTGTCGCAATCTCTACAGTTCCACCAGACGGTTCAGAGATTGAATTCAACATGAGTTTCGTAGCTCGTGAAGTTAACTTCCCTGGAGAAATTTGTTCAGCCACAAATACATTTTCCTCTAGCATCAAATTGTCTTTTGCAGCAGGAAACGGAGATGAAATTATGTCTGTATGTTTTCCAGCTGTAGTAATAACTTTTCCAGTAGCTAAATCAATTGGAGTTTATCGATGTGGCTCAATTAAATTAACCAATATTTTCCGGTTTTAGGACTATCTTTTCCTCAGCGGTTAGCTAGGCGTGTTATTGATTATCAATATATCTGATCAAGTCCCAGTTTACTACGCTTATGGTAATAATTAGGGAGGTTACCATACATTACAGATTACAAAAAACAACTAGAATTTTGCTTAATCCAAATGCATCTTGCACTTCTTCAAGTAGATTGAATTCCACACACATTCTTGCAACTGAAGGCCTCGTCAAATTTGAGAGCTTTACCCTATTGGCAAGCTATATAAAAAGTGGCTTCTTTCTGAAATAAAGGTAAAGGCAGACCATTAGGTGAAATCCATACAGGGGCAATTGCTGGTTCCATGTTGCGTGAAGCCAACACCGGTGGTAATCGTCATCCAATGAGATTGAGCTAAAAGCTTCCCTAAAGGACTTTGTTGATTCCTGCCGGAGTTGGCTGAAGGGCAGCTGTGGGAGAATGATTTCCGGGTCGAAGAATGGAGGAGACGTTAGAGTGAGTTTTCATAATCAAAACATCTTAGTAAGTTACAGTCAAGGGTACTCGGTTCACAATGACCATTTTTGACATAGCTAGCTAGAAAGCTTAGAACGACAACCAACGCCCACAACTTGTTGAGATTCGGACAATTTAAAGGTTAGTTAATTAGTTAAAGCTTTGGTAATAAAATGCAGCAACTTTGCGCATTAATAATAACCAAAGGCTTGGAATTAATCCAAAAAGTTAAATAAGCATTAATATTAAACAAAGGCTTGGAATTAATCTAAAAAGTTAAATAAGCAAAAAACTTGAAGAATGCAGAATCAATGCCCACAGTACTACTGTTTCAAGGCCTACTCCTAGCTGTGCCATGAAATCAATATGATAAAGTACTACTAGATAAGAAAATCATCTCCACCCTCATAATATTCATCTTCATCGTCATCCTCACATTCTTCATCATCATCATCATCATCTTCTTCCCAATCATCAAGCTTAATCCTTTTGGCTTTTGGTGTTTGATGATCGGTCATCCCATTGCTCTCTCCTTCTTTGGCTTTTTGGGTTTGATCAGCCATCCCATTGCTCTCTGCTTCTTTGGGTGCATCTTCATCACCGCCTTCTTCCATCCTCTCGCGCTTGAGGTTGAGAAATTGAGATAATCCTTTCAGGCTAACATCAGGATCATCGCTTCTCATCAGTTGTTCAGCAACTTCAGCAGGAGTGACATTCATGCTCCTAATCATTTGTTCAATCTCCCAAAACCTCCAATGTGTATTGTTGATGTTCAAGTAATTGGAAGCCAAAGTCCTGAATCCTTCAGTAGTTATATAGGACATCGATATATGCATGTCCATTCGCCCCGGGCGAAGCAATGCCGGATCCAACTTGTCCTTATTGTTGGTAGTAAATACGATGATACGCTCATCACCACAACTTGACCAAAGGCCATCAATGAAGTTCAACAGTCCAGATAGCGTAAACTCTGCCTCCTTTTTGGCTCCTCCTCCCAGTTTCCTCTTTCTATTAGGCAATTCAACAGTGCAATCAATATCCTCAATCACGAGGATGGAGCGATTTCCAGTCCTCAAAAACACGTCTCTAAATTGTGAGTTCTTGCTTATGTTGGTAAGCTCCAAGTCGTAGATGTCGAATTTCAAATAATTAGCTATGGCAGCTACCAAACTTGACTTCCCTGTCCCCGGAGGTCCATACAATAAGTAGCCTCTTTTCCAGGCTTTCCCGACTTTCCGGTAAAAATCTTTCCTCCTTACAAACATATCAAGATCTTCCTTAATGGCTTTTTTCAACTCTGAATCCATTGCAAGTGTCTCAAAAGTTGCTGGATGCTCAAGGTTGATGGACTGATAACCTCCACTTGATGACAAAGTATGCAGCTTTATAACTTTCTTTTTGTCTTTGATCTCTTTAGCTCTCTCTAAAATATGAGGGATATAATCGTTCAAAACCTGGTGTTTCTTCTCCTTGTCAAAGCTAATTGCAAAGTGCTTTCTATTCAAACCAAAATAATCTCCACCGTAATCACCATCATCACCGTCACCATAGGAATCCCTCCTAGTTTGTGAAGAACCCTTATTCTTCTGTTTACTTCTGAACGTCCAAACGACTTCAACACCATCATATGTATCAACGATTTTTCCGCACCGAGCAAGCTTGACGTTGATGCTTGCCTCTTTGTGCCCTTTGTTAATCATGAGGCACTCAATGATCGAATCAGCCTTTGAATTAAGATAGATTTCGGCAGCGGCATAAATCTCATTGTAACCCGTCACATCATCCTTGTCCTGGATCAGAAGAACTAGATCGGAAGACTTCTTGGTCTTGTAGAACCTTAAGAGTTTAGAGTAAATATAGTTGCGAACTGAATGAGGTATCACTTGATTCAGGGCAGTCTGAAACAGCATAACGGAACCTGAAAGTGAGGCATAGGCAGAAAACACAGAAGCCGGTGAAGGCAAGCTCTGGATCATAGCGGCCATCTTTGCGAAGTCTAGGGTTTAGTAACAAGAGGAAAAAAAAAAGAAACAGCCAATTATGCTTTGAGGCTATAATTATTAGTTAGTCTATATATAGAGTTGAATACAAATTGTGATCGGTTTACACTTCCAAATTGGGGTTGGATTTTTCCAGCCACCCAAATTAGTATTTGAAGCCACCAATTTTGAAGAATTTTCCTTTTGCCCCTGCCACTCGGACCGAACCGGGGAAGTCATTCGGTCCGATTCACGTGAGAACGGACAAATTATTAATTTTTATTTTAATGTTAGTTTATTCACAGTATCGTTACATGTTGAATACCTCGTACTTTAAATATTATTAACAATATTTATACTTTAGTGCTTAAACTCTACATTTTATATTTACTTGAAAATAAACAAGTAATTAATTTTTACTTGAAAATAAATTTAAAATTATTTGTTAAGTTAATTTATTTGAATTGATATTAAAATATAAATTTTGCTTTAATCATTATTTTAAAGATAATTTTTAGTTAAAATAATAATTATACATTTATAATGAAAAATAATAATTGTACTAAAAAGATTGTGACAAATATGTGTAAATAGATTAACTATTTTTTGTACTACAAAGATTGGTGATACTTAATGTAACTCAAATATAAATTATTAATAAATTTAATGACCTAAAAAGTAGATTAACTAATTACAACAAAAAATCTAAAAATTAAAAAAATAGCAATGAATCCGATTGATATTTTTAAATTTTTAGACTTTTTTAAATAACAAATATTTCTATTTTTTAATTACTAAAAAAAATTAAAAAAAACAAAAAATTTAAAAATTAAATAAAAAAGGCCTGACCGGTCCGGTTCACCATATCGGACCGAACGGGGACCGGCCAAGCAATCCACATGTCCCGGGTTAACCGGGACCGGCAAAGAACGCGTCCTCTTGTTCGCCCGAACGGGGTCATTGCGTGACTAGTTTAAAAATAGTAACATATTTAATACGATGTAATTCAATTTAAACTTTAAAATCACCTTCATCAAATTGGATGTAATTATAACAATATAAGAGAAAGCACCACGAAATATAAAGTAATAAAACTAATCCACACTGACCAACAAAAGCAACAAAATAAAACAAATTTTGGATCTATTATTGGGATAAAACTAAAAGAAAAGAGCTAACATGAATGCAGTATTAAAGAGATCAGGAACTTGTGCGTTGCAACCATGCTGAAGCAGCAACATTGGTTGTTCTGAAGTTGCCATTTGCTGTAATATGGAGTCTTTATCTTAGATTTCGACGTAATCTGCTTGTCACCAGTCAAATTCCTCTAGTTCCTTGGCCATCCTGCATTCTTTCAGCACTATACTCGTAGACTAGCTTGCATGTTTCGTCTATGGGCTCAATGTTTTCTTCACATTTTACTGGAGAATCCAACACGTGTAGGTACGTTATTTTATAAACCTGATAAACTATTCCTACAAAAACTGTAATTACACGATAAATTAATGGAGGGCTGAATTTTATAAGCTTGTTTGAGTCAAAAATGTATTTTTGAGTGAAGACCGATTCTGCTCAAACTAATTTCAACCGATTGCGTGATATTCTCAAAATATGGAGTCCAAACGCTGAGATTGGCCTAAATGGACTGATGCCTTTGAGTTGGCACTCAGTCGATGACTCAAAAGAGTAACAAAAATTTATGAAAAATGGATAAAACGGCCTGCAAAAGCCTGTTTTATTGATTTGATTAAGGACGAGTCGGCTTTGAATAGCCCAAAACATCGAAATGATTACAAGATTGAAGATCAAAACGTAAAAGAATACATTAAAAGCTTGAAAATCAAAAGATAAAAACTGTAAAAGAAAATATGAAGTTCTGATTCTTGAATGATGAGTCGTTTTTTTTTCTTGCCGGTGCCTCCTTAATTCCTTTTATACAGATTCCGCCAACCCTAGCTAAGTCGCAACAGAAGTCAAATTCCACAAGGATTTCTGTTGCAACTGGAATCCTTCTTCGATATAGACTGCGGCGTCATTGACTCCTTTTCGAACTCGGCCTCCTTGCTCTTTGTTTCATCCGCGAATTCTAATCAAGCCGTGTTTCAACCCGATTCTTCCTCCATTAAAGTGCTGCGATCAGCCCATTCTCATGTGGACCAGATTTGTCAAAAATCGGTCCAACATAAAGCCCCCGAGGGAAGCAAAATTTGCACATTGGAGTCCAAACTTTACTTGCCTTATTATGGATTCTTCAGCCCAAATAATGGGACGATCCAGCAAGTCTTCCAAAAAAAAAAAGATTTGATCGGCCCAAGATCCCCCCCAGCAAAAGCGCATGTGAAAGACGCGGTTTGTTTAAGCGGCTCCCTGATTGCACGCTTTCCGAGCTTTGACTGGGATTTCAAACAAGATAACATTGGAGAGAGAAAACAACATCAATAGTCTCCAACAGCTGCTTTGTTTTTTTGACTCCACAACAGAAACTAAATCTTCTCCGATTCCAAATCCCTTTCAATTCTGAAGTTGTTACGCTGCCGTCTTTAAACTGTAAGGATCCGGAACCGAAACCACAAACAATCAATTGATTCTAGAATTTTAAATGTGCAGCTCCACACCAACACCTGCAAAATTCCTCGTTTAATTCGAAACAAACCCTTATTTTTTATCATCGACACCAAGATGGCCGGAGCTGGCGCAGTAAACCCAATGACGTTTGATAGAGTCAAAGCTAAAACTCATGGTGCGAAACCCAGAGATGCGGGCGCTTTACAACGGACTAAAGAACGAGTGATTGTCCCTTTCAAGTCCGATGCGCGCCAGTTAACCCTTGGGCCGAATTTCCCATCAGCGCTGGAAAATCTGAAAGAATACATTCCCATGCTAAACCCAGAATTGCCGTACTACAAATATGAGAATCCCTATAAGTTTGAGAATTGGGCATGGCTGCGTGTCTGGCCGTGGTCAGATAAACGAGAAATCCAGAAGGCCTTCGTCCAACGGTACCACGAGTTGGAACCGGAATACCCCGATACTTGGAAGATGGGTGGAATCTATGACCTATTGAAGTTCTCCACCATAGGGCTTGGCGAAAGTAGAGATCTGGTGGAGGCCGTACTAGGGTTTTGGAGTGGGAGCAATAATGTTTTATGCTTTCCATGGGGCCTGATGACACCGACATTGCTTGATGTATGCATTATCACTGGTCTGCCTGCTGTTGCATATGTGGTCGTGGATGGCCATGTGATTGATGATGATGCAGCTGCAGTAGTGGCGGGGCAACCCAGAAGCTATGGACCTTTCATCAACGAAAAAAAACGGCACACAAGCCGATTATATCATATCCAATTTCTTGCTATGTGGTTGAACATGTATGTGTTTCCTGGGAAATCGTTTCAAATGACTATGGATTGGTATCATGTTGCTGGTAGGTTAGCATCTGGAGTACAAATGAACTTGGCAGAGGCTATTCTTGCAATGTTGTATCATTGTTTCCATGAAGCCACGCATAATCCTAGTGTTACCCTCTGTAGCCCTGTGTGGGTATTGCATTTTTGGTTGTATATATATTTTCCTAGTTTAAAACCAGAAGGTATCTATCCTGTGGAGAGTGGCGAACCTTTGTGCCTTGGTGTGCATCAGTATAGTGCACCAAACTATGACGCCACAGAAGTCTTCAGGACTATCTTTGAATCGAACCCTAACATTGAGGCGAGTGTACAACAACTCAGCCATGACTAGTGGCATAAAAGCTTTGGGGAAGTTTGCCATGCTGAGGCAGAGAGGAGAAAGTGGAGCAACCATGGTAAATTTGGCCTGGCATCTGTATGAAGCCATCTGCTATTAGCAAGGGACCTGTTTTATGGCTGTAAGAGTGCACAATCCCGGAATGTAGTAGCAGATATGCACGCCGAATACTATCCGGCGAATATGGTAGCCCGGCAATTTGGTTTTGCCCAGAGCGTGCCACACTTTTATGTATCTTGCTGGAATATAGGGAGGCTTGGTAGGGAAAAACTCACAATGTCTCAATACACCACGCATCGGGCGTTGATGGATCTGAGAGGTAGGTCAGCGGCAACAATTCAATTTCTGTTTCAATGCAACACCTGGATTTGCAGACTGGTGGTATGAACTGTCAATTGGTATGTACCGTTCTGGATTCGAGGCAATCAAAACCTTCTTTGGCATTGGCAAGTTTGCAAAGAACAAGTCAGTTGGTGGTGTTGCAGAAACAGAGAAGAAAGGTAACGATAACTATTACCCTAAATTTATGCTGTAAATAAACCTCTTTGTGTCACTCTTTTTGCCTGAATGTAATATTTGCAGGGAAAAGAAAAAGTGACGCTGCAGCAAAGACTGGTGGTCTATCAAGCAAGAAGAGCACTGCAACCGCCGATGTCAGGGCAAAAACAAGTACCGGGAAGGATGCTCCAACCTCCACCCGTCGATCCAAGAGGTTGATTGGGAGGAAGCGCTCTGCTACCGAAGTCAGCAATAAGGTAACAATAATATTACCGGTATTATGCTACCTTGTAAACCGGAATACTGACAAGTATTTTCCGTCTTTGCCATGTATGAATAGGAAAATCTCGTATCTGTGTTTGAGAGTGAAGAGGAAGAAGCAGAAAGCCCAGGCAGCGAGAAAGGTTCTGTTGCAGTAGCAGAAGATCGGGCTGCACAAAAAACAGCTCCGGAGATTGGCGGCGCCAGGAGCAAAAAGGTAATGAAAACGGCCAGTTCGAGCGCTCCAACCACTTCTGGGATAAAAGCTCCTCCGTCCTTAGAGTCACTTAAAGCTAGGCTGGAACGAACAAAAGCGGCAACTTATGTGAGAATAGAAGAAACGTCTAGGGTCCATGAAATGCCTCTGGTAGCTGCTTTGAAACAAATCACAGAGATGTTTTCACTATCTGCCAAAGAAGTATACATTGAAAGGTACGATCAGTTGAGCTAATTGGTGGCCATTATCCAGAATTCCATCACGGATGGGAATATGGCTGCAGCAATACGTTTAATGTCTTTCAGAAGCTACCCAGAAGCAGATTGAATGCCGAGTTTGTGTTCCCCATATTGCGGAATATCAGATTGCTTATGGCCTGCAGGAGAAGAATAAATTGCTATCTGAACAACTGATTGAACAGGCAGGGAAATTGGAAACCAACATCAAAGAGGCAGTTGTTGCCGAATTAAAGGAAAAGGCAGAATTGGAGAAAGTACAAGCCAAACGCAAACAACTGGAGGCAGAGCTAAGTGGTGTTGTTGCGGACACTGATGTGGCACTTGATGGATATGGGCGGATGACCACCGTTGTGAACCAACTGCTTCCCAAGTTCCAGGATGCTGGAAAAGTTGTAGAAGGTGGGTAGAACAGCTAGAACTTTCGCCAAGCTCATGCAGGACATAGGGACAGCTCCCAACTCTCCAATGCCCATGAGTCAAACGCCTCTAAGTCATCCTGAAAGCGGTGCAACAATAGAAGAAATGCAACCAACTTTAGAAATGCCACGGGATGTGCCACCGCCTGAGGAGGAGGCCCTTGATGTGGCACCGTTAGCTAGCAGGCCTGCAACCCCTCCAGCAGAGATATAATATTGCTTGGGAATTGATACCTTGTTAAACCCATCTTGATATTTTGTTTTCTGATTTAGCCTTCCAGTGTTGCAGTGATCTATTACCTGCACAAAACAATTTATTTTGATTTTTTGTTAGTAGTAAACAATGTCCTTGCTTTTAACTCATTGGTATCGTTTGGCTGCAATATCTCTTGCTAACTGTTGCTCTTTAGCGTTGAGTTGATACCAAGCGGTAGCAAAGTACTTGCGCAAATATGAGGCATTAATGGATCTATCTGTGATTGTTCCGTCAAGATCTCTCAAAACATAGACACCCCGGCCTAAATGTTGATGAATTATATAGGGGCCTTCCCAAGTGGGGCTTCATTTGCCATAAACACGATCTTTGTGCCCTAAAGGTAAGATTGTTTTTCACACCATTTTGTCAATATTGAAACGCTTAGATCTGACAAACTTGTTGTAAGCTCGGATGATTCCCGCTTTCTGGTGAATTATATTAGTTGCTGGTATGTTGCGGCAATGGGCCAACTTGTCATGATCAATTAGCATAGCTGTTGCATAGTCAGCAGAATCCAAAGGAGACTGTTTCTCAGATCGAAAGGAAGGGATTAGTGTTTCGACAAGCAACACGGCATCATGCCCATAGACCAGCTCATACGGGGTTGCCTTTTTACTATTTCTTTGTGTTACCCAATAAGCCCATAAAGCTTGACGTAGCACTTCATACCATTGCCGTGGGTTCGCGGAAATCGTTTTATGTATGATTCCTTTCAAGAGTTTATTCATTGATTCGGCTTGACCATTACCTTGAGCAAAATAAGGAGAAGAATGAGTTTGGGTGAAGCCCATATCTTTTGCAAGCTGTGTCATATCCTGACCTGTAAAATGCTGCACTTGATCTGTGATGATTGTTTTTGGCAAACCAAACCTGTAGATGATATAATCTTTGATAAAACTGATAACGACCTTTTGATCTACATTCTTTAAAGGAATTGCTTCCACCCACTTAGTGAAATAGTTTGTTGCAACTAGAACATATCTGTGTCCCACAGAAGAAGGTGGATGAATCATGCCTATAACATCAAGGGCCCAACACCGGAATGGCCATGGTTTGACTATAAACTGCATTGGCCCCAGTGTGTGTATGTGGAATATCAGCATGTTTCTGACAATCTACACACCCTCTAGCGAAATTGATACAATCCAGAATCATAGTTGGCCAAAAATAACCATCGTAGTGTACTATCCACATAGGAATTTCTAACTGGTGCACTTGAAAAGTACTAAGGAATTCATCGTCCCAATCATCGTCAAGTAAAGGGTGTGCCGCCAAGAAATTTGCTAATGCTTGTCCTTTCACTGCTGATTGCGGTACGTGTTAAAATTGCAGGACCCATTTTCCAATCCGGCCACTCATCATTGGTCGATGCAGCATGTCATGGACAAGAATGATTTTACTAATAACACAGACTAATCTCGGAAGCATGTAATGCCGCAACTTAGTTGCAGCAAAATATAATGCTAAACAAAGTTTTTTAATCGGTGGATACCGGCGTTCAGTGTCTGTAAGCATTCTGCTGAGCTAGTATATAGCTCTTTCAAATCCGTCGTGACCATCTTGTGCTAACAAACAACCCAATGACTCTTCTGTTGCTGACAAATATAGCTTCAAAGGTTTATCCGATATTGGTGGAACCATTACTGGTGGAGTTGATAAAACTTGTTTAATATCCTGAAAATCTTGCTGTTGCTCGTCACCCCATAAAAAATCCGTTGCAAATTGGACTTTCAAAAGTGAAGAAAAAGGTTTCAACTTCTTCGACAGATTTGAAATAAATCGGTGAAGGAAATTAACTTTGCCGATTAAGCTCTGTAACTCTTTCTTTGTCTTTGGGGGCCTAGCTTCAATAATTGCTTTAGCTTTTTATACATCAATTTCAATACCCCTAGAGTGTACTAAGAACCCCAAGAAACTCCTAAGGAAACAGCGAATGCGCACTTCAATGGGTTCAACTTCAGTTTATACTTCCTCATACGCTCAAAACACTGACCCAGATGTTGTAAGTGATCCCCAAAAGAATGCGATTTCATCACCACATCATCTATGTATACCTCCAGAACCCTTCCGATGAGATCATGAAAGATGCAGTTCATTGCTCTTTGGTACGTTGCTCCGACATTCTTTAACCCGAATGGCATAACCTTCCACTGGAAAATGCCTAAGGATCCCGGCGCATGGAAAGCAGTCTTATGAACATCTGGAGGAGCTAGGAGAATTTGGTTATATCCAGTGTTACCATCAACAAAACTCATGACTTGAAAACCCATCAACCTGTCAATCAATGTTTCGCCATTCGGCATTTGATATTCATCCTTGGGAGATGCTAGATTAAGACTACGGAAATTCGTGCAGACCCTAGTTTTGCCATTTTTCTTGATAACGGGGACCAAATTAGATAACCATTCAACATATACTACAACTTTGATAAAGTCAACTGCTAATAAATGTTCAATCTCTTCTTTCACTTTGTTGACCACATCCTCTGAAAACCCCCTTGGCGGTTGTTTAAATGGCATGAAACCCTTTTTTAAAGGGCTATTGTTTTCTACCAAACTCTGATCTAAACCGGGCATTTCCGTATAGTCCCAAGCGAAACAATCATGATACTGCTTCAAAAGATCAACTAGTGACTTCTTGTCATCGGCGGATAAGGAAGAACTAATATAAGTAGGCTTCTCCTCGCCAGATGATCCTAAGTTTATTGCTTCGACTAGTTCTTTGGTAACAACTGCTTCATCACTTAACTTTGGAGTTGCAGTAGCCAATTCACTCAAATTGATGATGTCACTGTTTGAAACTGGATCTGCATCATAAATTACTTCATCCCAACATACCGCAAGCGTTTCAATTTGATGTTGACGCTCATTCTCAAAATACTGCAACACACGCTTGATGACGGCTTGCTTTTCATTTGCCTTGAACAATTCTTGATCTAACTCCATCGTATCCAAAACACTTAACTGCTCAATTTTCTTCATTAAATACTTCTTCAATAGACGGAGCAGCTGGCAATGGCCTTAACATGTAGTAATTGTATGGCCTGTTGACTTCTTGTAACATCAACTTCCACTCTGGAAGACTCATATCACGACGCAAAGTGGCCTGTAGCGGCCGACGATACGTATCCATCCCAACAAGACGGTATGGACCTACTTCATTGTCGTAATAGTAAGCCTCTACAACATTAGCTTGAGCTGCAAATGGACTTGTATCGGCAGCTATGATTTCTGGTCCATCTATTTCCCATATAATAATCACTTGATATAATAAGGAAGGGATACATCTTGCTGAATGGATCCAATCACACCCTAAAAGGACATTGTAAGACGCTTTAGTGTCAACCACAAAGAACACCGACACCACCACTTGTGATCCTACCTCCACTTGCAATGGGAGGATTCCTTTAGCGGTTGTACCGTCTCCTGTAAATCCGCTAACAAAAACTTCAGTTGGCACTAAATCTTTGAGTTGCTTGCCTAATCTCTGTAAAGCTCTTGTGGGTAAGATATTAATTGCTGCACCGTTGTCCACTAACACCATCCATGATGGCACAAATGTATAATGGCCGAATGTGAGTCCCGGAGCTCTCAGTTGGCTCAGAGAGCATTATGACCGAGCCTTTACCTTCTTGAGATAGTAGCTAAATACCATCAACCGTAATGTCATGTGGTTCTGTTACGAACGAAGCTGCTTCAGGAACAACTAGTGAGTTTACAACAGCTTTGGGGATGATAGATGTTGCAGTTGCAGGTTCTTTCAAACGAAAAGTATTCGGTAACATATAACCCATGTTTACTGGTACGAAGAATGTATCCACTTTCCTCCACAACTGTGACCGTCTATCTTCCTGCCCTGAAAACTTATTCATTGACGTTTGCTGGGATTACGGTGGTTGTTCCTCTTGTACCGTTCCTAATTTTCCTGTTGCACCCCTATTTTGTTTATTCATTACCCTCTGCCATCTTCGTTTCTGTGTCCTGGTCATCTTTTCTTTCCTTAATAGTGGAGTAGGGAACTTGGAATGAACAGCGCCATGCCATTCTCTGTCATTCACGTGTGCTACTCTGACTGACCTTGGCTTAGTATTGTCCCTTTGGCTGGAACGCTGAATCTGTTGCCACATTGACGGTCTTGTATCATGAACATGGTATGGCGAGTTAGCCTAAGGGTTAACAACGGTATTCCCCAGCCTTGTATGGATGGTCACTCGTTGCTACGTCTGATGAACTTCTGCATTCAAACCCTGATGTTGTAAACTCTGTTGCTGATTTTGGTTCAAAGCACTCAAGATTGTATCTGACACAGCTCTCAGTTTCTCTTGCTCCGGATCTAAACGTGTTTCCTTTTGTACCCATGTCTGCGTCTGTCGATTTATCACTATATTCACTTCTGTTGTAGATGGACGTGTATTTTGTCGATGCAAATGGCCTCCGAATTTAGACCCTAGCTCTTGCAACTGTTGCTTGACCTTATTATATACTTTGTCACAATCTTCACAACCAGTGACCAAACATGCATCAGAGGAATGACTTCTGAACCCTACATTCACCATTCAGACTTGATGCTGTGGCGGGAAAGGATTGACATTCATTTCAACTGGATCCTCTACTACCACATTGCCATCATCAATCATCTTTCGGAGTTTATTCCGAAACACCACACAGTCATTTATGGTGTGAGTCCATGACATGTGATACTTACAATACGTCTTTTCAACTAGATCCGCTGGCTT